TCTCAATTCAACTTTGCAATACACTTACTTTCCACAGTCACTTTAACTTAAACACACGCTATAATTCACAACGAACGATTCCAGCACTTTACTACCCCGCTTGACTCAACTGTCTGTCTCTATCTCTTCAATCTGCAATTATTCATATCTATATGCCGTCACTTCTCGCCGGTCTTATATATATATATATATATATGAAATAGAGGGCATCTGGAGAACACTCGAGGCTTCACTAACGGACATGATCTTTCTAGAATATCATGACATGTTACTAGCGTCGCATGACTTCTACTGTCATAACAATATGTATATAATATAATAAGCATAATAAAACACCTAACTGTGTTGAACTTTTTTTTTTCAGCTTGAAATAATTCATACTTCAATACACATTTCCTTATTACTATTTCAAATTATACCTGAATAAATACTTTGCATAATGTGCTTCTGCTAGTTAGGCAAGTACTAAAAATCTCAAAAAAAAAAAAGGTCTCACTTGTAGCTTCTTTAAAATAATGAAATATAGCTGATTGATTATCAATGTACCTTTTGTTTGAACCTATACTAAATTATAATACTCTAATTAATATATGAATTAATTTTTTCAAATTTCTCTTTATGTCATACTGCTACAAGAAAGAGATGGTGGAACTGCCAAAAATGACACATGGGAAGTTTCTGTGAAAAATATAAAGAACATACTCTAGTTTCTTTAAGCTTACATACACTTTTCATCATTGTTTGGTTTGGTTATGATAAGCAGATTAGTAAAATAACTGTTTTCTCAAGGTATACAGTTTCCTGCAAATAATGATGTTTATACTACTTTTACAAATTAAATGAAGTTATGTTTATGGTAAGAAAAGAAAAATTGCAAAATGACTTTTAAAAAATGCTCAATACAGTAGGTTATCAGGTTATGTAAATGACATATGGTGGGGAAAATGTAAAACAAAACAACATAAAAATATTAAAATAGTTATATTTATTTTAATCAAATAATTTTCCTTTGATTACAACAATAAATTAAGTTATAAATTAGATACCTGCTGAATTTCTCTGTGAGAAGGAACTGGTTTGTCAGTGTATCCTTGGAATCTAAACCAGGACACAATAGTCTGCAGAGAACGATAGGCACAGCCCCAACCATCGTCGTCCATGTGGTCTTGCATGTAGTGATGATATGTGTATGTTCCTCTGACTAACTGGGTGTGTCCATCTTATGTTTCCGATCAAAATTGTAGAAAACATTAAAAAACAACAACAACTATAATTTCTAAGTAACCTATTTTTCTGAATGTAATGTAAATATCTGAATCCATGATTATCAATGACAAGATATATGAATGGTGTGATTCACACTTTTGTAATATAATTTTTTTTTGGTAAAGTACAAACATATTTACAAGAATGTTTTGTTTTAGAATTTCACACAAAGCTTTACAAACATAATAATGTACAAATAGTCATCCCTAATTTGTAGTAACAGAAGAGGAGGAAAGCATCTCGTTAACAACACCCACCACTAACTCTTGGGCTACTCTTATTTGACCAAACAGTCCTAATACGTATAACAAATTTTTCTCTGAAAATTGGATACAAACCACAAACCTCAGATTCCATAGTCTGAGCAAAATAACCACTAGCCCATGCTTGGCCCTATTCATAAGAAACATAGTAAAGTTTGGGAAAGCATTATATGGGGCATATTGATTTTAAAAAAAATAGATTCCTCTCTCCAAGTTTTAGTTAAACCTTTTCAAAATATATGTAAAATTTTCTTTGTGCAACAGAGATTTGTCAAATGAATGTTTCTCTATTACTTTATGTATATCTGTACATTATGAAAATATAAGCAAAATCATCAACCAGTTACCAAGCAAAGCTTCCTAATGGCAACAATGTTGTACTGTTGGAACCATGAATCTTACATTTCTCTTCCACTAAAATTTCCCTGAATACATGCATAATTTGTAGGAGTAGATTATTAAAACAAATTTCAATCATTTGCATTTCTGAAAAAAACCTTTAATGTGGTCAAATGGTCTAACAGGGTAAAAGATTATATATTTCACATTGGGGACTTTTCCATATATCAATAAATCACAGAAGATGTATGTTGGAAAAAAAAGGTTTTTCCAGTCTTCCACTAAAGTAAAATCCACAAAACAAGCAAAGTACAAAAAGTAAGTATCAGCACTTAAGTTTGTTCTTCCTGTGGTAGTTAAAAGAAAAAAGGGATATGTTAAAAGTACATAATACAGCAAAGTGGTCTATCATATCCAAACTTTAAACATAATATTTTCTGAAAAGCCAAAAGAAAAAATCTCTTGAAATTACATAATGCACAAAACCTTTCATTAAAATGATAATTTCTTTAATCATTTTTTACTGGAGTCTATGTTTAAGATGTACAATTTGCACAAATTTTGACCAAATGTTCTGTTAGATCATCACATAAGTGTTACAGGTTTGTCTGAAAAAATAAGAAATGAATCTAAGATAACACAATTCAGCAACAGTATCTAACAAAATCCACCTTTGTAGTAGTTCTTGGGCTTACTCAGAAAAAGAGAAGTTTTAAAGGACACAAATAAACAGTTTATCCTACACAGATTTATTCGGTTCTCACTTTTTTACTGATTAACCAATAAAAACACCAAAATGCACTCAGAATTGAAGTAACCAATTTCAATGAAATATTTTTCCATTCATTTTAAATAAAGGCCTTCCCAAAATATGATAAGTCTCTTAAGGTACAAAGGATTACAATATACAATTGTTTGTATACTTTTGCAACCACAACCTCCCTGAAAGGCAAGAAAAAATGCCCTTGCAATTACCAGGTATATTCCATACTGAAAATGTATTTCTGATAGTTACTCACCTCTCCTCACAAGATTAGCTATTCTCATTCAGTGCTGCTCTATTTATGCAAATGTTTTCTTCCACAAGCCTTCCACTCCCCTCCTATTGAAATTGCAAGATTCCAATGTGTCTCTCATGCATCACCTCCTCACCAATAGGAGCATTACATGCTCATGTAACTCCCTCTACAATGCTCTACTGAACTATCACTTTGAAGTTTGGCAGAAGATATCAGCACCAAAGAAATGTGGGGAGGAAGTGTGAGAGAAGGTAAGTACCTATCGAAAATACCTTTTCAGTATAGGAAAATTATAACTTCCCCTATGGTACTTACTTCCTCTCACAAGATTACCTAGAATCCCACATAGATAAGGAGGAGGGACTAGTTCAAGGGAACAACAGAAGTACACCCTGAAAGCATCCAAAGGATACCCCTGGAAATGTGAGATTCAGATCCAAAGATCAGAAGAGGGGAACCACACCACTTCTGAGTCAGGTATACTCCTCATCCAACATCATTCAATCAAACCAAAAGATGGACCCAATTGGTAAGGGTAAAAGGTGAAAGATTACAAAGGGAAGAGGATTGCCAGGGGATAAAGAGTCACTAGATAAACTTGTACCCCCGGAAGGAAGCAGTACGGGCAATATAACAACGATGAGCCCTGACCAGGCACAAAGCCTATACGGTTCCAGTCAAGAGTAAAGATGGGAAATGGAAGTAAGGGAAATAAGAGAAAAGGAGGAACCACCCTCTCAAGCTGCTGAGGTGTTCAGGATAAAGGAGAAGATAGGTAGGGTGGTAAAGGGTATGTGAAATGTCAATGGTAAACAAATCAGATGGTTGATGTCCACAGGATAAGAGAAGAAGGAAATATGTTTTAAGGGAAAGATAAAACATGGAACACGAGGAAAGTGGTTCAAACAGAGGTAAGGTAAGGGAATGGAGGACCACATTAACATCCAAATTTGGAAGGGTAGGTCACCTGGGAGGGCAACGTATCCAGAAGGAATACATGAGCATGGTAAAGACAGGGGAAATAAAAACTCTACGGTATTAGAAAAACAAAAGGTATGGGATAAGGCTGCTCGATATCCCAAAAGCAAGGAGATTAAAGACACATGGTCAAAGAGACAGGTGAGAAATTCCACAACACAAGCCACAGTAGGCCAGTCAGTGGGAAGCCCCCTAGTTGCAGACTAATGATGGAATGCCTTCCACTTGCATTTGTACACTTCCATGGAAGATAGACAGATGGAACCAGCCAACAAGGAAGTGACTTGACATGTGAAACTGGATCTTCTCACTAAGGACAGGACATAAGCTAGGCATGAAGATGCAAGACATGAAGGGTGGGATGTAAGACATGTGACCAAGGTTGACAAAGAAGGTAGAGAGAAACTGGAAGAGGGAAAGAACAGGAGAGGAGCAGTCGCTGTATCTGTGGACACTAAGGCTGAGCTGCTCAATAAGGAGCAATCAGGAGGACCTGAAAATGAGTGGAATGGATAAGAGAAATCACCAGATGGGGGTACACATAAAGAAACTTGTGTGACCAATCCTGGCTGCCAGAGCCTGAGGTACAGTAGACCAAAAGAGAGGTAACTTGTTGTTGGGGCCTGTAGCAAAGACATCATGTGGGGTGAACACCATCAATGGCAAAGATATCTGAAAATGAGGGGATCTAATGACCACTCTGTGGGATATATCTAGTTGGGGGTGCTAAAGACGATCTGCGACCAGATTGAAAACACCCGGCACATGATACGCAATAATATGAATGTGATGTGCATGGACCCAGTACAAGAGATCCAAAATCTGAAACATAGATCTCTGGAATGAGTGCCCCCTTGGTGCATGATATGTACCACCACTGTAGAATTGTCTGAATGAACCATCACCAGACAATGTTGGGCTAGAAGAAGGAAGTGAAGCAACACCCAACGTATGGCTAGAAATTCGAGAACATTGATATGCAAAGCACTTTTATCCACAGACCAATGGCCCAAAGCCTTCTGGTGATTGACCCATGCCCCTCATCCCTGAAGGGATGCATCCGTGAAAAGATGTAAATTTGGATGTAGGAGGAGGAAGCAGCACACCAACCGAAGTATTGGCTTTGTCCAACCACCAAAGAAGATCATCTCACAGGGAAAGAGGAAGGGAAATGGGGGTGGAAAGAGTATCCTGAGCAAGGTTCCATCAATTGTAAAGTGCCCACTGAAGGGAGCTCATGTGGGCACGACAGAGGGGGTACAACGATGTCATTAATGACCACATCCCCAAAAGCAATATAACCTTGTGAGCAGTAAGTGACTGAGCTGAGACGGCGTGGCAAACCAACAGTTTCATTAAACAAAGTCGTAAAGGAGAAGGCTGGGCCAGACTGATAAGTGTGTTAAAAAAAGATCCCCAAACTGACAAGATATTGAGTGGGTCTGAGGAAGGACTTCTCCAGTTTGATCAACCAGCCCACCCAAGCCACCACAGAAAGGAGCTGCTGAATAAGATTGGCTAATTTCTGTTTGGAATGAGCCAGAAAAAACTCAAGAGCATAGAGATGTCGAGCAAAAGCTCAGACTGTTTGAGAAAATACATAAGGTGCCGATGGAAAGTCCACTGTAAGAGCAATTCCCGAACTGCTTCTGATAAACACTGGCTGGTCATGGGATCTCGAAAAGGAAGGAAACAGGGTAAGGAGAGACGGGAAATGGGGAAAGAAATTGGACAATGTATCCTTCTGACAGAACCCAAAGTACCCACTGATTGCTGACAAATGAATGCTAGTGATTAAGAAACTCGAACAGCCAAGCCCCACTGGACCAGAACCCACTGGGTAGTCACCTATACTGGTGGTGGTACTGAGGTGCGTCGTCAAGGAAAGCAATGAGAAAAAATACCCCGAGTAGAAGGGACAGGTAAGGGGAAGGATGGGAAATGGTAACTGGAGGCATAAGAGGCTCTAACTGAGACAAATTGGCTACGATATTGGTAAGGGACCGTACCAAAAACATAATGTCACAGAAATGGAGCCATACATAAATGCCTAAGAAATGTAATGAGGGTAAATAGACCCGAGCCAATATGGCATCACGACCTATAAGGTACCAACAACAAAGAAACCACATACGTAACATCAGAGCCGAAAACAACATGCGGGCTAAAGTGGAGTAGAGAAGGGCAAGGGTATCTCCAGAAAACCCCTCAGGAATTCTGTGGAGAGCCTCAGATAAGAGCTTTTGGAAGAAAGATACCGTAACAGAATTGTAAGGGTAAGATTCAAGTTAGAATATTGAGCATAGGTAAGACTGACAGTTGATTCAGGAGCCACCCCCCAAATAGACAGTAAGGAACCTAACAAGTACTGGTCTAAAAATGGATAGTCAGCACGATGGATGGAAAGTGTGAACTGATCTGAAGTCCATGGAGGGTGTGGCATGCTAATCCCCTTGCTTAAATGTGAGGCAAAGTGATCAGTGTGAACCAAAATATCAGGTGAGGGAGGAAAAACCAAAAAGGGTGGGGAATAATGTTCATGCAGTAAGAAAGGATAAGGTGCATAAGAAATAAGGGAAAGGGTTAAAACATCACAAACCTGAGACACAAAATCCATAACGACAGCATTAGGCCTAGTAGACTCATCGGTTTGGGAATGGGAAGGAACGGCAAAATCTGGAGGTGGAAAAGACGACTGAAGTCCTCGTCAGCCTGCACAGAATCAGTCTATTCTGGAGGAGCTAGGGCAATGTCCAAGGACAAAGTTTGTCCTATGTAATGTTCAATCTCCCAGTGTATCAAAATAAATAAATCAATCATCAGGTCACCAACACCTGAGAAAAAAATGCTGGTCAATGGTGTAACCCCCGAAGTAGTAATGTTAACTTCGGAATTCATTGCACAGAAAGGTTCACCAAATTCAAGAGAGTAAATAAGGTGACTAGAATTAACTGATAAATACTAATAGAAGAAACAGGCCTGAATGAAATCAAATTCATTTAAAAAACAACCACTTCGTGATGAAACAAAGTCGAACGTGAAACATTAAACGAACAAAAGAGCACATCCAAACACAAGTGCTGTCAAATAAGAAGTGATAGTTTGGTAGAGGAGTGTAAAAGAAATCACATGCAACATGTAAGCATGTCATGCTCCTATTGGTGAGGTGGTGATGCATGATGATTTGCATGAGAGACATGTTGGAATCTTGCAATTTGAATAGGATGAAGCAGAAGGCTTGTGGCATGCATAGAGAAAAAGTTCACTTACAGTGGACAGCATTGAACGAGAATAGCTAACCTCGAGAGTGGACGTAATTACCGTATCGGAATACAGATTTTTCCTTTCCTAACTGCAAGGTCTTTCTTATAGAATCAAAAATTATCTAAACCAACTGAAACCAGTACAACTGTTTATGGAAATAAATAATTATCTTCCCTCTAATGGAGATCAGAGGTTTGTTTAACCTCCTCAACAAGGTCTTCATTAAATATTACAGACATTTTCTATCAGTTAAAAAAATTATAAACACTTAATAGGACAAACAGTATCAGAATGAAGTTTCTCCAAACCTTCTCTATTTGTAAGAAAAAAATATTATGGATCAAATCCTTTTAAAGTAAAAAAATGCTGATACTTAGATTATCACAAACAAGTGTCACTGTTTTTATACTAGCCCCCCCCCCCCAATAAAAAGTTGGAAAAAAAAATAAAGGAAGTCGTTTTTTTGCATTTCTTCCCTCAAATACATTAAAACTCTGCAATAGTTTTGAAACAGTAAAAAGTTAAAAACCTGAGAAACATTTTTAAAACTGTGTATTTTTATATCATCATCAACAGTTTTGTGCAATAAGCTTTAAGTCATTTCATAATAAAAATTAACAGAATTATCCTGGCTTTCAACACAAAGATTTAGACAAAGTAAAAAAATTATATAGCTAAATCAAAATAATCATTGTACAAATGAAAGTAGAATCTATTTCTTAAAAAAAAAAGAATAATAATGTAAACATTGAACTTTAGTTTGTTTAATATTCAAATTTTCAACTAACTTTATTACAGATGACAAAGAATACTTTATTAAAATGTCTGATGTTTAATACCTTCTGGCATCCGAAGTCCAATGTGAGTATTTCTCAAATAACTAATCTTATTTTCTAAAGCTGGAAATCTAAGACTATTCTGGCGACGAAGCTGAGGTCTGTCCAGTTGTAAAAGTAGAGCTCTGTGAAGCTTTTCTCTGTATGAAACTATAAAACATTTACATAAAATCTATAAGTGTGTTATACAAAAGAAACTAATGAACACTGTAGCAGTATAATGATCTATATGTTTCATTCAGTGTATACTTTGATATATTTTTAAATGCCTGTCCAAAAATATATTGAATAGATTTACACAGCCATCACTAGTAACAAATAGATTCAAAGTTGTTTAAGAATATTTTAGTTCTAATAACTTCACTGATATCAGCATACATAGCAATAAAAAATCTCTGTCATTACTACTACCAGAACTATTAAAACAGATATGTTATTTCTAGATATAGTTGTTGATGTTCCTGAGCTATGATGCTGACAAATGTCAAAATTCAAGAACGAATGTAGATAACAAAATACTATTAATCCATATATTTGAGTTACTTCTCCAAACATTAAAGAAAAATCTTACTAAATTATTATAATTTCCTATAAAGACAGAGATTATTAGAAAGTTACTTCATACTTTATTCTTCTCATCCAGCAATAATACTCAACCTTGGAACATAAAAGGTTTTATGGAAATAATGCAAATTGTAGGAATGAAATACATGCAGGAACACAAAAGCAAGTAACTTACACTAGAAAATAACATAACTGAACCCTTTAAGAAGGTAAGTATTTTACCATTACTTCTAATGAAAGAAAGTTTACCTTTCAAAATTACTGGTTTATTAGGTGTCATTTAACTGTGACATACTATCATACAAAACTGGAAAAATCCTTAAAATATAATTGTTTATAAAAGCATGAGTCTAGTTTGGAAACTTCTCATTTTTCATACTTTTAAGTTCTCAAACTGCATATGACTAATGATTATTGTGTTAAAAGTAATATCCTTGATAACTGAATTATGAAAACAAATCAAAATGAATACACAGAATCAAATACAGATCAGTATCAAATCACCGTATAATAACTTTGAAGAATGCAAGAGAAACTAAACGATAAATAAATTAAAAATACAAGTTTAGTTAAATTGTCATGCACCTCTAGAGTTTACTACTAATATGCCTAACATGTGATATTCAATTACATTTATTATCAACAAAAATATTCTGTTGTGGAACAAGACTGTTATAACCTCATCAGTGTCTGATGTTTCTATTTCTATAATTAAAAATATTATGTATATCTACCTTTAATTAAAAATAATTTTATTAATTTGTTCACTGACACCTAACAAAACAATAAATTTACACAAATGAGAGAAGTATATTAGTGTTATCAGCATGAAGGTTAAATAAATCATTTACATATTTTAATAACTATGAAGGAAAAGCTACATCCACCTAGCTTTAATCTAGTAATACCTATTTTTGCTTCTTTTTTTTTTGATTAATTTCAGATGTTCATGCAAAGCTATTTAAGGACTATCCACATTAGTTGTCTCTAATTTTGAACTGATAGATAAAGAGAAGGCAACTAGTCAGCATCCACTTCAACAGTGAGATTTGACCATCACCCTTATAATGCACCTGTGGCTTCAAAGTACAGAACACAATATGTATATATATATTTTTATATATACATATTTTTTATAATGGAATGCAAAAGATTGATGCATAGATCCATAGTCCAGCACGCTAACCAACTGGCCATGCTCAGCCCTTATGTTAAAGCAGCCAATGTTTTCTGTGCATATACAGAAATGCTAGTACACAGGTAAACTTACCAAGTTCAACATCTTCCTTATTACCTGGATATACAACAGTTACAGGGAATGATAAAGTGGTTGGCCATACATGGTAAGCTGCAGGTACAGGAATTTTTATTTCCTAGAATTACAAAAAAGACAAGAAATTAAAACAGTTCATGTTTCAGTACAATGCTATATTTTGTTCTTAAATCTGAGATAATTTGCTGAAAAGACATCACATGTAACAACTATATATAAATACTATCTTAAAAGTGTCCATGAAAACATACATACTTTAACTGTTTAGTTTCTGGTGCAAAATTATTTGTGAAGAAACTGTAAATCGTGGACAATGCAAAACACTAAAAATCCTATAAAATCAAGTAGTCATTCTGAACCAGTCTCAAACAACCCAGTTTAAGAGAGATAAGGACCTAGAAGTCAACACTTTATGGGTCACCTATTCAATTCATCAAGCTATATCACATTTAACTTTGTCACCAGAATATTCTCAAATAGTTGTACCTATCTTGAGCTCTTATGATGATGATGATAAATACAGCATCACATAATTTAGTCCTTTTAACAACATAATAACATGGACCAAAATGAAAATAAGAATAAATGTTACTGTACACCACAACCAAAACAAGTGAAACCGTTATACTTTCCCTTGATGTATTTTCTTTTAAAAGAATATTGCTACAGTTATGATTTTGTGAATACGATATAAATATTTTCTACATAACCATTATGATTAGTTATAAGAAATACAGTGAACTTTGACAGCAATATAATGAGTTCTCTGACATCACGAAGGTACAGTGTGTAGTATAATAATTGGAAGTTTGAAATAAACTGTTCTCAAAGGAAAAATATCTGAATCTTATTAAAACTTCTCAAGTCTTGGCAGTGCAATGATTTATATGGTTAAGTTTAAGATAAATCAAAATCTCTAAATTAAATTAATAAAAGTTTGATTTTCTAATAAATAATTCACTGTCCTTTAAAAAATTTTTAAGCTTAATATTTTTAGTAACTAAACCTTAATAAATGTTTGATCTCCCAAAAGTACACAGCCCATATGTCAAGAATACTATAAATTTGTTATAACTGCAAAAATAACAGTACAGGGAATAGGTTTATAAATCTTTGCTTTGTAGTTTTTATAAGAGGGGATAATTTTTTAAATTTTCAATGATTTCAAATAAGAAATAATTATTCAGGAAAACTATTCAAAAATCCCAGAGGTTGATACAGAATTTTATGAAAGTGTGCTTGATACCTTCCATTTTGAAAAATCAAGCATAACAATTTTTTATTTCGAAAAACTCATGAGTCACAACTATAGTTTGCTGAGAAATTATGGGCTTGTAAAGGGATCATAAAAAATATGTATTGTTAACCTCTTTAACCATATTGCAAACACAATAAATTAATACAGAAACTTGCATTACAACATCAAATAAATGTCTTTTTGTTTTATCAGTATGACAGTATAGTAAGAACAAATTTTAAGTTATAAAATGTTATCAAATATACAAGTTAGGACATAATTTGGTACCCACTCATATGCTATCCTACTATGAAAGAAACAGCACTATTTGCTTTTCTGTTGTAATGTACACTGGCTATAGTAAAGTTTACATGGAACTGAAATGTGTAATAGCAAATGATTCCTAAATTGTTTGTATACATAATGAAGAGTTATTTTAAATTAAAAATAACAACCAAAAATGGATGTTCATATTGAAATCCTACACACAATGCACCTTAAAATGTTTTACTTTTTAAAATGCAAAAGATAAATGTTAAGAGAAAAGCAAAAAATTAAAATGATACAAAATTAAAAAAAGTATAAGAAATTTAAATTGACTTGTATAACAGGAGACTTAGAAGATTATAGAAGATCAAGAAAGTTGGTGAAACAGGAAATTAGGACATCAAAAAGAATGTATGAGAAAAAATTGGCTGAAAATGTAAAACTTAACAGTAAGGATTTCTTTAAATACATTAAGGAGAATCAAAATGTTAAGGACAGGGATAGGACTTTTGGGGGATGATAAAGAAAGGCTAGCACCTGATGATTATGAGATGGCTGGGTTATTAAATTTTTCTTTTCTTCAGATTTTACTAATGAAGATTTAAGCAGTATTCCACATTTTGATTAGTTGATAAATGGAAATGAGATCAAACAAGATGACTGCATTAATTCTGAGCTGGTTAAGAAACAATTGCGAAGTTTAAAAAATGATAAGGCTCCTGGGCCAGATAATATTTCTCCAAAGGTTTTGCAGGAGGTTAAAGATTGGATTGCTACTATTTTTTGTCAGTCCTTGAATACTGGACAGGTACCAGATGATTGGAAGTTAGCTAATGTAACTCTTCTTTTCAAGGGAGGTGATAAAAATTGTCCCAATAATTATAGACCCATTAGTCTTGCATCAGTTGTGGGGAAAAAAGTTTGGAAGGTCTGTAAAAAGATGCTTTGCAAAGTCATTTAACAAAGTTTAAAATTTTATTGGATAGTCAACATGGTTTCACTAAGTGAAAATCTTGTTTTACAAATCCTTTGATATTAGTTTAAAAAGTTACTGCTTATGTAGATGAGGATAAAGTTTTAGATTTGGTGTATCTGGATTTTCAGAAAGCCTTTGACAAGGTGCCACATAAAAGGCTTTAAAAAAAATCCTCTCTATAGGTGTGAGTTAGGTAATTTGGATAGAAGAGCAGCTGGATTGAAGAAAGCAGAGAGTTGTTATAAATGAAGTTCAGTCAAACTGGATTAATGTCACAAGTGGGGTACCTCAGGACTCAGTCTTAGGACCTTTGCTCTTTTTGATTTATATAAATGACATAGATGAAGGAATAGTCAATAAATTACTTACATTTGCAGATGATATTAAAGTCTTG